GTGAAAAGGCAAAAGGCTAAGGAAAACATTTTCTACTACATAACATTCCCCACAGCTGGCTCCACAAGAAGCAAAATTTGGCTGTGCCTTATCTGAGTTCAGGAGAAGCTTCCCTGAAGAACACTTGTTTCTTAAGTCCTGGTACTACCATTAGCTAATAATATGAACTTGGGCTGGTCATCTTGCAGTTCTGTCAGGTATCAAGCCAGGGCTTTGCAGAAAATACCACCAATCTCTTTCAGTTGTGCGATGATGCAATCTGGTTTTAAAAATTCCTTTTTAGCCCATGTAAAATGCAGTGGCATTAGTTTATAGAATTTTCTACCCTACATTATGACCAAAACCTTCACAACAACGTGTCAAAAGTTTATTACATGCTTGTAACTGTTTGTTTCTCCTAAGAGAGAAAATAGAAAGACTCTGGTAAGAGTTGACATTATTTTCCTCTTAGGCTGTATGTGAATAAGAATTGAGTTATTCAGAATCCCAGGTTCTCAATGTGCCGACATATCTCAAGGGAGAGCCTGGACATTTCAATTGCCTCTGTTACACAAAGCCTGCTTAACTGGTATTGTAAGAAAGTGCTACGATAGCTTTACCCAAATGTTTTTGGGGCCTCAGGGTTTCCCAATTCAAGTACTGGAGAAAGCTTAAGCTCTAAGACTGGGTTTATGTCAAAGATCGTATTTTCTCTCTTGTATATACCCAGCTCAAACAATGAAGCTTTTGCAAATGTTTATTTGTCCCTTTTTGAAAAACCCTAAAAACTGGGAATTTGGTAGTGTAGTAAAATTGTATTCCACAAAGCAAAATGTTTTTCCCCTCAAGTCGCCAGATTTCTCATGTACCACATTTTTCAACCTTATTATTCTAAATATTTGCTTTTCACTTTCTGAATGTTTCCTCTGGTAAGATGTGGCATTTTGTCCTTGAGAAGTGAGTGCAAGTTACTATATTTTCCTTCTCAGCCATCTCATGAGACAGGCAGTGAAATGCCAAGAATAATGTAAACTATACAGGAAAATACCATGATGTACTACACCTAGAAATATCTCAGCTTAATAGGTGTTGTGCCGTTAATGGTGAATTTTATGGAGGTAAGGAGATGTAAATCTGTCAGGTAGACAAAGATTTACAATAATACCCACTTCAGTGGGTGATTTTCATCACAGTTAGGACCGTCAGGCAACTTGCATGTTTTCGAGTCTCTTAAGTTATGAAGGCCTCCTCATATTAATCCAAGGTTGGTATCTTGACCTTCCTGGAGTTGACGCTGATAATACAGTCTGCCACTCGTACCTTCCATCACCACTGATGTGATTTCAGTTGGTAGGGTGGGGTTTTAGTTAAATAAAACTTACTTAAACCACTGGTTAGAAGTTAATGATTATTTTCTACAAACAATGCACTTTTTATTATTGCTAGAGTATTCATGTAACTCATTCTTATATTTCTTTGTAAGTCATATCTGAACATAGACTTCATTTTCAAAAGATACAGATAGCAAATTACCGTAAGAAAATACTTGCTTTTGCACTTTTATACACTAATTTCACAGTTGTATCAAAAAATTGAATGATAATTTTGTTAGCTATTAATGTGAAGTCACTGGAAGGTAAACATCTTATTAAGTATGCTACTTACAGATTTGGAGGATACCACTGCATTAGGAAAAGAACAACAACGAAAAACTTGTGTTCTGGTCTTATTCTTCATAAAGGAAAAAAAAAATTAACAGAAAAAGTATAATAGCCTTTTTAAGCTCTTTTGGTTACAAATTTGAATTTTTAACTCAATATGCTAGATGAAAATAGGATTTTTTTAAAGATTTGTTTATTTGAGAGAGAGAGAGTGGGGGGGAGGGGCAGAGGAGAGGAAGAGAGAAAATCGTAAGTAGACTCCACACCCAGCGCGGAGTCCTATAAGGGGCTCAATCTCACAGCCCTGAGACCATGACCTGAGCCAAAATTAAAAGTCAGACACTTAACCAACTGAGGCACCCAGGCACCCCAACATATGATTACTTTTTAAACCCATACTCTACTCATCTCTATGTATCTGGATACTACAAAAGACAGGAGAAAAATTGTATGGGACATGATTATATGTTATATTTATATATTTATTAAATATATATGTTAAAACACTTTTAAGTGAGATTTCCAGGCCATTGTCTACCTTGGAGTCCTACCTTCCTGAGTTTAGAGAAGTTACTCCATCAGATGATAGACAAAAATTTAAGGTAAAACTACATGGATGCCTTTGACATGCATATGTGTGTTGTAGAACATATTTAAGGAGAAATGAAATAGCAAACAGCTTTAGCCACAGCTGTTGTCACTGTGACGAGATGCTGACCGTAGGGCATAAGCGTTATGTCGGGGTTCTGAAGATTGTTGGTTGACTGGTATTCTGCCAAGAACACAAGTGACTCTCTTCCTAGCAAAAAGCCAAAGACAGGACCCTAGAGGAAACTGAAGTAAAGCCAAAATGAAGTAAAGCCAAAATTCTGCAAAGAAGAATGTCCTCAGATTATTTTCATCCCCCCACCATTACAGCTACCATGTCTTCTATGTGTGTGGTCCAGTTTCCTAGTAAATAAGGGAAGGGAGCAAACTGCCAAGGCCCTGCTGGAGAATACCCATGAGTCCTAAAAAAAAGAGTATGATGTAGAAAGACCAATGGAGGTTCAGTGAGGTTTTGAACAAGGAAAGAGTTGCAGAAGAGTGTGAACCAGAGGACCACTTCCCTCTTCAGCCAGGATACAAGATGCAGGAAAGAAGAGCATCGGCCCCTCTTCCAGTCTCTCCCCACGTTCATTATTTTTGTTTTTAAAACTAAATGTATTATTTACAAGATGTGGTATGATGGGGAGATAAAACATACTCCTTGTCAAGATACTAGATAAACATTCTCAAAGGAGGAAAGTTGGTTGCAATTTCCCGGATATTAATATATGTAATACCATAAATGAGATCAATTGAGATATTCATACAGGCTACCACCTGGTGGCTGCAGGACAGTCGGCATAAAAGATACAGTATTTTCAAAGACCTCGGTCATGTGTTTTAAAATACTCAAGATCTTATTTAATTTTTAATTACTGAGTTTTAGCAAACCTAATTATGAGTTTCTTCCTAGATAATAAATGACACATGGTTACTGCAGAAGACATGGTATTAACATATGCAATTAGCATCTTCAACTTCAGGTTTCACTCATTCAGTCCAACCCGTGGAGGAAAACATGCTGTTCACACTTAACATGTAGGCTTTAGGCAAGAGCATTTCTAGGCACTTGGGGATTTGGTAATGAGCATTTTGGTCCTCATGTCTGCCACACAAAAATTGTTTTGAGAGACTTAAGATGAACAGTAATGAGCAGATCTGATACAACAGATTCTGCCTATTAAATTAGTGATCCTGATCATTTAGATTTATATGAAAAACCAACTTACTCTTATGTGCAATACATAGTTTCCATTTTAAGCACTAATTATTTAAATTTTTATATATTTAATAAAGAAAAAGAATAAATATTCATGACATAAATGTGTTGAAATTTTTTTTCATATTTAAATAGAAAGAAAAGTAGTATAAAAGGACACAGATATGTTTTAAATCTATTGTCCCAGGAGAAGCACCAAGAGAAAAGGATTTCATGTTTAAATGGGAGTACAAAATGCAGCTTGTTATACCTCATTTTAGAGATTCACAATACTATATTTGCATTTTAAAGTTTCTGAAAAATTATTCTGTAAAGAAACCTGCTTCACCAAGTCTAACCCATGCCATTGTCAATTCATTTAACCATAATACTGTTCTTTAAAAATCTATTATCAAGACATTTTGAAATGCTACTCTAATCATGTCATTTAAAAAGTGTATATTGATATGGGCCTTGACAGAATGCTTAATAGAAAAAATACTTGTAGGTAGTTTAAATATATAATATACAATCCTAAATATTCTATTGAAACTATTGGTTTGGTGAAACCATTTCTGTTTTGACTTAGGATGCTCATGAAAACCCTTACTTCATTTTTGTAAATTCCCAAGAACACATTGTTCAAGCAAAAAATTCATAGACATCAATAAACAAAAAAATGGAAAAAGGAACTACATTGAATAAACCTTTCCTTGATCATTGTTCTTTCAAACCATCAACTAATCTAGAGCAGGAAATAACACCACATAATTATCAAGGCAACCAGAGTATTTTGCTTATGGACAATAACGCCACTTCCATTTATAAGAAGTGGAAACCCTCTAATCACTCGTCATATTTCTCTCACCCCAACATACCCACAAGATCCCATTTATATATCAAGTCTTCTACTCAGAAATTACAATACTGTAATGAAATTTAATTTTGAATTTGATTTTAATCAAAACAGCTCACTCAAACTTTAAATAATTTAATAATTAGCAGAAATCCTTAAAGCTTGACTCTAAGGAAGCCATGGCTTATCTCCAGAGCACTTGTGAAACATATATAATTTTATGTGTGTATATATACATATATATCACTTATGAACATTTTTATTATGAGGGGGTTCATAAATTTAAAAGCATTGGACTTCTGGGAGCCTAATAAATTGCACTGATATTCCATATTTCAGTTCAGAAGCAAGTGAGAGACAGACATAGGAGTCCGGTAGATGGACATTCCCAACTTGTTTGGAAAATGTGGTGATTAGAAGCTGCACGAGGATCGGGGGACTAGGTTTGAGGTGGTGCAAAATGGAGCTGCTGAACTTGAGTCCACTTTGAGAAGGAGTGACCAGAAAAACTCCATTGAGCAATAAAGAGAAAAGATATGTAACTTACCAATATTTGTCAGGGCTCTGGATGGAAAAGATTGATGATAATGATGATGGTGGTGATAAAGATGATGAAGATGATGATAACCACAAAACACTACTAATAAAATCCCCCCTGGATATTTGCCTTCATAAATCTATTCTTACCCTGGGGTTCACCAGAACCACAGTTGGGAAAGCCTCAAATTGAAAAATTTAAATGGTCCCAGATCCTTCACATACCTTGGTGACCAGCAGAAGTAAATGCAAATTCTCTGAAAATGTACCTTCAATCCAGGTCCCAAGTTCCTACAAATTAAGTACAGGTCACAATCACAATCAAAACTTACTGAATAAACAATGAAAGAAGCTACCGTGAATGAAAGTCAGTTAAAATAATAAAAAACAGCTTTAGATTCCTCAGTGACTTCAGAAGATATAAGATACAGAATATAAAATAACTACCTATGAGGTCTTTAAAGGAAATTAACCCCCTCTTTGATTTCTCAGCTCCACTCTATCCAACTCTTTGCCTAATAAAATTCATCACAGGATAGACAATGTGATCCAGGGATTGGCAAACAATAGCCATAGGCCAAATCTGGGTGTGCCCATTCATTCACATAATGTCTATGACTGCACACGACAGATTCGAATAGTCATAACCAAAACACATGGGGCTCAAAACCTAAATATTGTCTGGCTCTTTACAGAAAAAAAAAGTTACCAAAGCCTGGACTATACAAATACTTAAAGACACTCAAATATTAAAAATGCCAACAACACAGAGATCCCCACATTTAGGGGTTTTTTGGGCACAAAATGGTGGTTTTATTAAAGCCCGGGGACAGGACCCATGGGCAGAAAGGGCTGCCAGATCCCCACATTTGATTATAAACTCCTCCCTGTGATCACATGCCAGTAGTAAAATTATAGTTCAAACTGTAGAGTACCAAAGAAAGTAAAGACTCCTAAAGTACCCTAGAATTTCTTTTGGGTATAGCAAATATTTTCTCCAAGTCTGTGGTTGCTTTCACTGATCGTTATAACTTCATTAAAAAGTGAATTATATTTTTTTGAAAGATTTTTTTGAGAGAGAGAACATGGGGGGGCAGAGGGAGAAGCAGACCTCCCACCCCCCACCCACCCCACCGCTCCAACTGCCCCCCCGGCAGGGAGCCTGATGAGGGACTCCATCCCAGGACACCAGGATCATGACCTGAGCAGAAGGCAGATGCTTAACCAACTGAGACCCCAGGCACCCCAAGAGTGAATTATATTTTAAAGAATTTTTTAATGTAGAAAAATACTTTTTTTTTAATACTCATGTATTTACAGTTTCTGGCAGTCTTTATTCTTTTTTATAAATATGAGTATCCATCTGGCATCACTTTCTTCTGCCTGAGGAATTTCCTTTAACATTTCTTATTCAGGTCTTCTGGCAATAAAATCTCTAACCTTTTACTGGTCTGAAAATATTTTTATTTTGCCTTCATTTATGAAGGATATTTTCAGTGGATAGAGATTTCTAGGTTAATAATGTGTTTTGTTTTGGGGCGCCTGGGTGGCTCAGTTGGTTAAGGAACTGCCTTCGGCTCAGGTCATGATCCTGGAGTCCCGGGATCGAGTCCCGCATCGGACTCCCTGCTCAGCGGGGAGTCTGCTTCTCCCTCTGATCCTCCCCCTCTCATGCTCTCTGTCTCCCATTCTCTCTCTCAGATAAATAAATAAAAAATCTTTAAAAAAAAAAATTTAAAAAAATGTGTTTTGTTTTGTTCTATTTAACCAGCACTTTAAAAATGTTATTCCACTGCTCTCTGGCTTGACTGTTTCTGATTCTTACCTTTATTCTGGTTTTGCTGTCTTTCTGTAAAGAATGTTAAACTTTGTGGGGGAAGTTAAATAACTTGCGGGTCAGCTTTATCCTTTTGAGGCTTGTCTTTAAGTTTCTCAGGACTAGTCAGGTGTATTCTTTACTCTAGGTCTACTAGCAAAGCTTGACTCTTCTAGGGTCTTAATTAAACACCCCAGATATTCTTAGGTGTCTCCAACCTGGCTGGTCAGAGCTTAAGCATCTTTCAGCCTGTGTACATTATGGAAATGATTCAAATTACAACCCCCCAAGAGTTTTTGATTGGCCTCAGGCACTTTCACTTATGCACGCTCAGACTGGTATTCTGTAAGTTTCAAAGAGAATCTTCTCTACATTCCACTCCGGTACTCTGCACTGCACATGCTAACAACTCAGTCTTCCTGAACTGCAATAGCTGTCTTCTTAGCTTAACAAGACCACGATATTCTTCTCAATACCCAATACCCCTCCCTCCCACACACATACATATATTGGGCACTTTGCAGAAGAGTATCTAGGCAGAAAGATAGGACAATCACAGGGTTTATCTTGCTTATTCTCCTTTTTTTCATCACAGTACTGTGCTACCTTTCGTCCAATGTCTGAAAACATCAGTTTCACATATTTTGTCTGTTTTTCTAGTTGTTTATAGAAGGGAAATGTGGTATAGTTACTCAAATTTGGCCAGAAATAGAAGTTAGCAGGTTGTTTTAATCATGATGATGGGCCTCCATATTCCAGCCTGTCTTAGTTACTGAATCCTCCTAAAATCTCTTAGAACTCCTGGCATATGGCTGCCAAGAATGATCAAGCCATCACATATTGTTGACATTGGATATTTTAATTTCCAAGTACTTGGGGGTTTCCTGATTATTTTATTTTTATTCATTCCTAATTTAATTCCATTGCAGTCACGGAATTTTTCTGTTTGATTTTCTTCATTTTAAATATATTTAGACCCGAGTAACATTCTCCCTTTCAATTCATGGTAGTATTTCTCGTAGGATACCTGAAAAAAACCCAAAGTGGTAAATAAAGGCTACAATTTGTAAGCCAAACTGTAGCTCCAGTTAGCTTCTAGTAAGTTGATGTGACAGAATTTCATTATAAAGAAGTGTTTTTAGGAAGAACCCTTAACTTACCAGTCATCTGTTTCTATTCTCTGCACAAAACGACTCAAGTGGCTTTTCCCAACATCAGCCACTCGTCATCATGAGACCTGAGAGAATTAGTTAAGAGCAATATTTTCATACTCTGACTGTCTCTTGGGGTTAGTATAACTGCATCCCTTCTTGGGTGCCCTTCCCATTTGCCTCTCTTTCCACCTTTTCCATTTAGTACCTGCTTTCAGCCATATCCTCCCCACCATGGTGTGGTTCTCTGGTTGGAATCTAATGTTTACCCTTCAAACAAACAATAACAACAGACATGCCAATGGCTCTCCTATGCCCCATTTCCAGGAAGAGATCATAGAATTTCGCAGGTAAAAAAAATCACAGACTGGGTGCCTGGGTGGCTCAGTTGGTTAAGCGACTGCCTTCGGCTTAGGTCGTGATCCTGGAGTCCTGGGATCGAGTCCCACATCAGGCTCCCTGCTCAGCAGGGAGTCTGCTTCTCCCTCTGACCCTCCTCCCTCTCATGCTCTCTGTCTCTCATTCTCTCTCTCGCAAATAAATAAAATCTTAAAAAAAAAAAAATCACAGACTATCTTTACAGTTTGCCAATGGGATTCCATTCACACTTAGCCCTAATTTGATTTTATGGCACAAAACTATTTATTACCTACTCCCAAAGTCCTTTAGGAATATGCCCAAAGTTAATGGCTGGGATAGCATCTCTTACACAATGATCCCTTCCTCTCCTGGCATGTGCAAATTTGATCCTGGTCCCAGGATAATGAAATCAGACAAAACAAAAAATATATATGTGCATTTCCCACTTTACCCTCTCATATTCAATGTATTTAATTGACTAAACCAGCCTTTCAAATCCCACCACCACCTATTTTAAATATGAAATGTTTTAACTTTCCATTCCAATTTTTGGTGAAAACACAGCTCAGTGAGTCAAAGAATGTAATATGTTCATGTAATGTTATATCTTCTTGCTCTTTCTTATACATTAGCAGTAAAATGTTCCTGTTGATCAAAAGAAACCTATCTTGGTGGGTCAAATTGATAGAGAATTTTCCATTCAAAACTTTGAACTGTACTCTCTACTGTTCCTTCTCTTCCAGGATAAGCAAAGCCTGGAATATCTAGATCTATCTAGATCTATTTATCTATTATTTATTTATTTATTTTTATTTCAGTTAGCATCCAATTATAGCCCATAGGAATTACATTGCCTAGAAACCCATGCAGTCCACTTGCCAGATGTAGAGAAGGTAAGCCTTGTCCTCAGGAAGTTCTGCCTACAGTCATGTTTGGGTGATTTCTTTCCTGTGGACATTGGTTTCTTCAGGTGCAAAAAGGAATGCATTGGGCCCAACCATGCATGACATGGGTACCTGCCTTTTATTTTGAAACCAGGTGGCTGGTTCTAGGGCTCTAAGGTCCCATTTATCCTTTTCCCTCACACTTCATTTCTTTGAGATTTTTGTTCATTATCAACTCATCAGAGACTTCCCTGACTGTATGAGCAAATGGTATTCTCATCTACCATACACACTGCTGCCAAACCCAGCATGCCCCCATCATCTTGATTTTTTCTCTAAAACATTTTCTCAACATCTAAATTATTATAAGTATTTTATCTATTAAAGAAGTTACCACTCCCCATACTAGAATATAAGCACCATCCCAACAGGAATGTGCTCTTGTTTGTTCACCGCTGAATCCTTAGTGCCTAGATGCTGAGCATTCGGTAGATTAATTTCTGATGGTTGAATGAAAAAATAAGTGCAGGAATCTTTCTAACTGAAAATCACCCTTACAGATTCATAAAATAAAACTGCAATAGCTGTTGCCAAAGCCTGTATTCTTGCTGACCTAATGAAAGCCAAAACCTCTCCAGTTATGGTTATTCCTCAGTAGATGCATGTTTCAGCCCTTGAATAGCATTTATGTCACATCTTTTTCTGCACTGGTAGGATGTACCCCTAGTGGTTTATTTACTTTTTATACCATTTCCATACTCTTTCAGAAAGGCACAACTGAGCTATAATATTTTAAACTCCTTCCTAAATTGATCCTCCTCCTACTCTTACATATGTAAGGTTGTTTCTGGATCTGGCTACCTTCTTTCCTTTTTCTTTGATTTCTGGTCCAGATATTTTGTTTCCTAAAATATTTCTGTAGAATGCCCCCTTGGAGATGCTGAAAGAGATAAAGTTAGTGAGTTCTAAATCTGCTACAAACATCTATTGTTTGAATAAATCTTGTCCACCTTCACCTCTCCTAGTGCAACAGTGGTTAACTGCATGAACCCTGGAGCCAGACCATCTAGATTCCAATTC